CAAACTACTCTCTGTTGCGCAAACTACTCTCTATTGCGCAAACCACTCTCTGTTGCGCAAACTACTCTCTGTTGCGCAAACTACTCTCTGTTGCGCAAACTACTCTCTGTTGCGCAAACTACTCTCTGTTGCGCAAACTGCTCTCTGTTGCTCAAACTATTCTCTGTTGCGCAAACTCAGCCTTTACATCGTGCACAAAACTTGATCCAAGTTTAACATATTCACTACTATAACTTCTTCAACTCTTTAACCATCAACTGCTTCTTCAACCTTAAAATAGACATCTCCATCTCATGCTTCTCCCTTCTAAACTTCTTCTCCATCTCAAAAAACTCTTTCTGCTTCTTTAACTCAAACTCTACTAATTCTCTTTTTAATTCTTCTACTGACTTCTTCTCTTCTGTGATTAGAATGGGATCTGTGTCCTGTTTCATTATGCTTATGTTCGGTTTGATGTCCGAGGGAGGTAAGTCTATGTGTTCGGTGACAGGGGATGACGTCACAAGGTAGTCGTCCTGTGATCGGTCGTCGAGTGTGTCCAACCCTCCGCTGTCGTCTATTTTTGTGTTTTTCTCTTTTATATCTAGACCGTTGGTTTTCTGTAAATGAGAGAGATGCTATTAAAGTTTCTGCATTGTAGATATGTAGACGATTTATTTTGTCACTAAGATAAAAAAACATCATTTAATTGTCAGGCATTAAGCTATGAAAGCCACTGTGTCTCCAACACAAGTATAATTTTGGCACTAATTTTTCATTTGATGCCGATGAGAAAATATACTCTGGAGTTATCACAAGTTCGTCACAACTCTGTCGTGGTGGCCCGGAGGCTTAAGACGCCCGCTTCTCATGCATGAGGGTGCGGGCTCGAAACCTACCAACGGCAAGTACCAATGTGACTTTTTCAAAGTTATATGTACTTTCTGCGATTATCTAGACACCACTGACAAACGGTGAAAGAAAACATCGTGAGGAAACCTGGACTTATAATTTGTAATTATAAGTTTGTAATCATCAACCCGCATTGAGCAAGCGTGGTGATTAATGCTCCGTGTGAGAAGAGGCTTTGCTCAGCCGTGGGCATTTATAGGCTCTTGATGATGATAATGAGTCACAACTCATATTTGTACAAAAATTACCGTTTGGACGAGAGCATTATAGATAGGGTTGGTCGTACCATATTTTTTCAAAGCACCAAATGCCAGTACATTATTAGTAATTATTTCTTATTGCCTCACCACGGTTCCTTTTAACGGATAGTGCAGAGGATGGTAGCTCTTCATCTGATGGTAGACGGAAGCAGTAGGCAGCAGGTTCCCCTCCTCATCAGTCAGGATCTTGATGATCCTCTCCTCCAGTGGGTTGAGGTGGACCGCGCAGTGTGTGCCCTCGGACAGACACTTCTGTATCACTGCGTACTTCCTCCTGATCTTGAATTTTAAGTCTATCCAGTACTGAAATGAGGGAATGTTTGTTTTTACAGTAATTTTCTTAATTATGATGCTTTTTGGGTTATTCATGTAAATATTTGACGAGGAACTCGACTAGTTTCAAGCCATGCTAGAGGCTCATGTTCATGTCGGCGACTGTCGCGCTGCTGCTTGCTACAGTGCGCCCTCTGCCGTGTCTGACGCGCACTTTTCTATATATGTGGTATCGGCGACTGCGGCACGCGGTGAGCCTCTAACATGGCTTGAAACTAGTCGAGTTCCTCGTCAAACAGTTACGTGAGTAAGCCGAAAACATAATATAATTAATTTAGCATGTCTCACGATTGTTATAATATAAATATAATAACTCTTGTTATTTTATGGTTAGCTTGCAATAGGAATGATAACAGGGGTATGAAAATTGTAATTAGTCTGTCAGTTAGGAAATATATAAGACACATTACTTAGTACTTTGACCAACCCAAATTGAGCAAGTGGGTGGGGCAAAGCGATCGACTGCTTGAATGCATGGATATGAGACACAATAAAAATACATTGTATTTAGTGTGGATCCACATTTAGACACAAAACGGGATAATGCCCAAACCTTCTCTGTGTGAGAAGAGACATTTGGTCAGCGGTGATCACTTACAGGCTGTTGATGTTGATTATTCCCACTTATATTATGGTACAAAGAGCGGTACTGATGGTTACAAATAACTATGCAGGTCGCTTCGTTAGGTATCGATTCAGTAATGCAATCGTTTACCCCAGTTTGTGGTATATAATAAAACTTCCTTGTTGCGCTTATCCCTGGAGGTGGGGCCTGCATACACATGCCATGGATGTAACGCATTCGATGCACAGGCGAAGTGCAAACATCACATCGTTTGGTGTCCCGTATTCATAGTCTAGTTGTGTGTATCTTTACAGTTGCTTCTCGGAATGAGGTAAACAATGATTTAGCTTTTACATATGAAATTTGGTCGCTACACTTCCAACCGGGATATGGAAATCATTAGGGGAGTGCATTCAGTTGTACCTAATAAGTAAAATAAAACATTTTAGAAACTTACTCTTGCCCAACACTTGCCACTCTTCGTAACATTCTCATCAATCCTGTTCAGCGTCCGAGCAATCTTCTCCCACATCCTCTTAGACTGTATGTGCCCCTCCCTGGAGCGTGCGCTAGCCAGTGCCAGGGTAGGGTACCGCTCCATGTATTGAGCCAGCACTTCCAGGTGCTGCCGCGATACTTGGCGACGGTAGAACATTTCCTCTGTCATGACTGGTAAGCTGGAGAAAGTTTATAAGAAATGTAATTATTTGTTTTAGTCTGTCTAGAAATATTATCCAAGATATTTGTAAGGAAACAGTACAGATAAAGTACTTCTTTTCCTACCGACTGACAGAGGGTATGAATAGTTGAAACTATAGGCTATAGAAAGCTGTAAGCAGTTCTGGAACTTATGTTTATAATACAAAGAAAAACCATATAACAAAGGGCGTAGCTAGCACCGTATCTGCCGTATCAATTATTTGGGGGTCCCAGGTCATAGGGGCCCCAAAGTGCATAGGCAAAAATTAATAAAAACTTTACAATTCTTAATTTTTATAAATTACAAAAGTCAAAATAACCAATTAATTTTTTTTCTGTGCAAAGCATGCTTAAAAAAAAGACAGAAACAAGAGAAATTAAGGTCCGATAATTTGGACAGACCATTAAATATTGGGGATTGGGGGTTGCCTGAAAAGTTATCTGGGAGAGCTGAAAATTGGTAATTTTGTAGATTTTAATGTGAGCTTTCAGACGTTAAAAAAGGTGGCCAGTAACAGATTTTTAATATCTTTCCATGTCATTTTAGGAGATAGGAATAGTTTACTATAAATTGAAAAGTTGTTTGCCCATAAACAACACGCTACGCCACTGCAAGTAACTATACATTGAATGCTTCAGTAAAGTAAAGTGGTCTTTAAATACGATTGAAGGTCTGAAACACTGACATTCCTGAAATTGGATTACAGGGTGCTTCTTGCCAAAATTACTGGGTGATTCAGTCTCATACAACTTTATTTCAGTTTACTGACTGCACGGTTGGTGCGGTGGCTGGGCAACCGGCTGCCGTGCAACGTGTCGCGGGTTCGATTCCCGCATGGGACAACACTTTGTGTGATCCACAAATTGTTGTTTCGGGTCTGGGTGTCATTGTGTATGTGAACTTGTATGTTTGTAAACGCACCCACGACACAGGAGAAAATCCTAGTGTGGGGCAACGTTTTTTAAAAAAGAAAAAGAAAGTTTAACATAATCCTGGTATTTAACAGGCAAATAATCGTAATTATATCAAACAATTGAAACAAAGGAAATGAAAACTACTGGATTCTTATCAGAATATTGATAGAATCTAACGCGTAAAAAATCAAAACAAACTATTAAAAGCTATGATAATATGGTATATGTTCTTATTGGAAACTACTTGTTTTCTACTGAATCTAGGGCATACACATGAATCAGAGACATTTATTATACCTACATTTATTATATACTCTTAATTATAAGCAGTAGCGCTTCATTCATTTCAAATTTTATTCTTATTAGTGTATAAGTTTAGCGAAATTCCCATTTTTCGCACCACATTCCAACCAACCGAAGATGACAACCAACCAACTTTGACATTTGATTTGACGTTACGTGGATTGATTTCGCTTTTTTTATCTGTTTTGAAACGTAGTATTTTTACCGTGCCGTACTACCAAAACCACACTGATATCCGAACACAAAATTATACTTTCATCAAAATTTTGAACCACTTCAATTTTCATTGAGATAAACAAAATCTTCAATTTAAAACAAATACCACATCTCAAAAACTCAATTTAATACCTAATTTTCATAGCTTATAGACAACTTAGACAAACTTTCTTTGTCCTGTGTACTGTATATATGTACATAAATAATTCAATTAGTAAATAAATAACCATTCCTTTATGAAAAAATATTAATAACTTTGAATTCAATTATTTTTGTTATAATGTATCCGAATGTTTCGCAGCTGACAAATCACGAACGAATAGCGATCAACAATTTTTTTGACTCTTGACGTGAGCGAGTACGGTTGTTAGAAGCCGTCGATATGTCGTCGATTAAATTAAATTTAGTATTGTGCAGTGTATTATTATGCATTTTGGTGTGCGTCAACACACAGTCCGTGCACAGACGCTTTGAATACAAATATTCGTTCAAGCCGCCGTATTTAGCGCAAAAAGATGGATCCGTTCCTTTCTGGGAGTACGGAGGCAGTAAGTATAACCTAATTTCTCTTATTCCATCAATGATAAATGGTTTTTATTTCTTATAAACTTGTAAAGGAACTTCTTAACTACATATCTACGCTTATGCATATCTAAGTTATGTTATAAATATTGAGTAAAAAATATAAAATCATTTGTTGTTTCGGTCCATACGATTTGACAGCGACACGTCAGTGAAATCTGTCAAGGGTGAAAGGGACAGTGCTATACGTTTTTACCATAGTTAGAAAGAGAGATGAAATAGTTGTCGCGATCATGTTTTTTGGTTCCACGAAAGCAGTCGACACGGTTAAAAAAGCTGAAATAATTTATCATAACATTAAAATCAAATAGTTATTGTTTTCATAACTTATTCGATAATGGTTGTAAATTATTATTTAATACGCATACCTGTGTATGACACACTGCTAACATTATTTTCGCAAATGCTGATAATTTCTTTCTTTCACTTATTATTTTTGCGAACTTTCTATAAAAACGTGTCAGTATCGTGCTGTAAGCTATTATTATCTTTAATGCCATATTCGCAAGTAAAGGCATCAATGACTCGTCAAGATAAATGCATCAACACTGCCTTCTTTTAAGAACATGTTAGTTATGTATATTTAATAATATTTTAATTTGCATATCTTAAGTTATATATTTGTAACTAAACTATCTTCACTTTTTTCACACAACTTTAAATCAGGGGTGCCAAAGGACAATATTTCAACTAAGAATTCTTAAAAAAAAAACAGTGTTCACAGGTTTAAAAGCTTACAATTAAATTATATTGATTTCATTTAATTTCAGCCTTGATAAGCCCTCATAGATGGTTCTTAGTAATTAATATTTATTTAAATCCTATTGCAATGTTTTATTTGTAATTAATAAATGAGTTTTCCTTCCTTTTCATTGATATTAGAACAAGTAATATAGAATTGAGTATTGAGGTTGCATTCTAATAAGAATTATTAAAAAGTATATCGTAATGAAACATCAACAGTATAATCTAGGTACTTCCGTGCAGTTTCACCCGCTCTGCTCTGTTCCTATTGATCAAGGAATATTGTTTTGTATAAACCTTCATTGATACATCGACTCTCCAACAAAAAAAAAAGAATGTTCCAATTCGGTTCAGTAGTTCTGGAGATAAGCGCATTTAAACAAACTCTTCAGATTTATAGAATAAAACAAGTATAAGATATTGACTGACAGTACCACTCTCACAGATATCTTCTTTGGGAAACAACGAGTATTTGAATATTTGGAATAATAATAATGACATAATGAGTTAACATTAACATAACAATGAGACTGTTACAAGTATGCTTACCTAGCAAACTGAATGTGTTTGTCAGTCTGTTATGTTAGAACAGCTGAACAATTTTTGATAGAATTTTGCAAAGATATACTGGGTTTTTTTACAATTTGTCAGTAGTAGCATGGAGTGTGAAATTGTGTCCGGTATATGGCAACACATTCATCCCCTATTACATGGGACTCATAACATATATAGCGAAAAGTAGGTGTTACATTTTACAGTATCATTAAGTGCCGTAATGTGCACCTCTGCCTACCCCTACGAGGATAAAAGCCCTGATGATATGTAGGTTTAAGTCATAGTATTATGTACATGCAACAGTTGTTTGATTTATTATTTCGTTTCATTATTTACCCACCACAAAAGATGAAAAGCACCAAATAGTTTTACATTTACGCATATTAATTTAAAATTTTTAGCATCACTACAGTCTTCTATAATATTTATGTGAGAACTGACGAGACTATTGCCTTATTACCCTAAGCCCCCAAATTGCCTATTATCTATCTATGCTTTCTGGGGCCCCATGCTCATTCAACCATAGAATAGAGCCAGTACTAATAATCTACATAGTTATCAAAATACTAAATAAATATTCAGTACTCAATAAATAATGATAAATAGTCATAAAGATTAACTTTCCGTCCTTATACATTTTTCAGTAACAAAAAAGAATATGATCAACATTTTTGTTTTGTTATTAACTAGTTACTCTCTCACAGTTTTGCTTGCTGCTTGGCTCCAATTCGTCGTAGCGTGATGTTTTATAGCCAATAGCCTTCCACATTAATGGAATATCTATATAAACGGGCTTTAAGTGTGGGAGAACTATGCTTCGGCACGAATGGGCCGGCTTGGCTGGAGTGATACCACCAACGAGCAGAATACCGACGTGAAACAACGCTTGCGTTATGTTTCGTCGTATTAGTGAGAATTCTGGAGACCCCTTCCCCAATCTTCCCATTCCCCGAATCCCCAATAATCCTCAAATTCCTAATCTCCAAAAAGCCGGTAACGCACTTGTAACGCATGTTCTAGGTATCCATGGGCGACGCCGATTGCTTACCATCAGGTGATCCGTCTGCTCGTTTACCGACTTAACTAATGTAACACGAAAAGAATTATTCAATACGAACCAGTAGTTCTGGAGATTAGCACATTTAAACGAACTCTAGCTTTATAATACTCATATAAATCGATTGTCATTTGCGGGAGCTGAACATATGTTTTGTTATCACTCGTTATCAGTATGCTACTAGTGTATTCTGAGCAGGGGAAACCCGATAGGTACATACACCTTATTCGATCATTGCCACTGCTACTGCCCAGCATACACGATCGATTCCTCCCAAGTTGAACAAAATGTTACCCTTACTATTTTTTTATACCACGACGGCGGCTAAATAAGCGCACGGCCCACCTGATGGTAAGTGGTTACCGTGGCATATGTACGCTTGCAACACTTGGGGCATTACATGCGCCTTGCCGACCTTTAATAAACCTCTCCTTTCTTGAAGAATCCCATTTTGTAGCCCACCGGGAAAACCTTGGCATTCATTCCACAATCGGAGGGTCTGTGGGAGAGAATTCCTCGGAAACCGAACTACTATAAGAAATATTGCTAAAACTATACCCAAGGCGGGAGTGTCAGACTCTTACTGACTAAAAACCACCCCGTTCCTACTCCTGCCCTTCGAGCCGGAGCCCCGGCAACCCGTTAAGTACTCCGCGGCTCCGTATTAGCATCAGCCCTATTGGACACCCCGTGGTGGTCTGATAGCCATTTGAGGCGCGCGCGGAACGCGACGCGCCTTACGCTCGGGATCCGTCGAGGTTACGCATTAGTTGCAATGACATAATTATTGCGGTGTTAAGTCAGTAAGAGTTTGACACTCACTCTCGCCTGAACCAGGGCAGGAGAAGCCATTAAAGGATTTATTTTCCCCCAAATCAGGATAAAGGCGTAGTCATTTTTTAGGATTTTCTAGGACATCTTGCAAGCCTTTCGGTTTTTCACATACATTTTCAAGTCTACAAACTGTTAAGCGCAACCACTTTGGTAGATACACCACCATAACAAAACACACGCCCAAAGTAAAATCATTTACTCCAGTTCTGCATATTTAATCTAACTATCAACCGTGGATAATTTTATCAAAATCGGTGTAGCCGTTTATGATGATTGTTACAACAAACAGACTGGCATTTATATTTATTACATACAACTAAGGTTTATGTGTTTATAATCTAATCTATGACATAATTTATGGTAGCCATTTTTCTATCTACTGGACATTTTACGTAACTTTTTAAGCGTTCTCGCGCGTTTATTGGTCTATGGTCGAGTATGATATTAATTTTTTAGGTCGGGTAATATTTAACTTCTGCCGCGTTCCCGTGGGACAAAAAGTGGCCTTTGTGTTATTCCAGACCATAATCAACTCTTCTTTCAAAGGAATTAATTTTTTTAGGCCTTTTCTGAAAGTGGCCAACGAAAAAAATGGTATGTATCGTTAGAACTAGCCATTTGGAGCAATAGTTAATATGGCATAAAATTTGAAGGATCTAAGATGAAGAAGTTATACAGTTCGATGATTCGTCATTTTCATACATTTATTGCTTTCTAAAGGTGCTAGGAAACGCAAAATAATGATCGATATTGCTAGAATAAAGAATCTGAGGCAATTGTGATGATAATGCGAAAAGGTTTCGTCGACGTCTATTTACAAATAGATTCATGCGACGATGCATCGATGCGACGATTTGCATTTTATTTTTAATATTAATTTAATATAAGACGATTTGCATTTTTAATATTAATAGGATGTGCACTTAGCCAGTTAATCATTAAGCCAAACAATTCAATTAATTCTTAATTTGGCACCTATCAAACATCCGTCACCGAAAATTTATTTGTCCGTCCGTCTGTCTGTCCGTGAAGCTAGGCGCGCGTTCCAAAATGTAGTCTCGAATGGAGTTTGATGAAGATCAGTCTACCATCAATTCCAGTTCCAATATGTGACACAGATAAAATATTGATTGTGTAAAAAATATCTAAATCCGTATTTATGGCACGCACGATAATATATGTGTATACTCGTCGGGAAACTTGTTACTCGTTAGGTCAAGGTTGTATATTAAAAATATATCTAGATTATTACCTGTTTTAAATGTATATAATAATATTAAGATTTTTATTGGTTCCGTGGTCTCCTATGTTCGGTATGAAATTAGAGCGAAGTTAAACCACTAGGCAACTGGTAAAGCGGCACGTGGGTTCTTTATACCATCAAACCTGACCTGGCCTGACTGGGGCTGTGAATAACCGTAAAGTTTCCGTAGCTTCCGCTTGAAGCAGGAGTAGGCACGGGGTGGTTTTTACTCAGTAAGGGTCTGACACTCCTTCAAGATTCACCCAGGACGGGAAGAGTAAAGCTAAGGATACACTACAAATGTCCTGCAACACGTGTCGCTAGCGACGTCGGGTGAAGTAGCGCTACGTTGCCGTCTTTGGTCGACATGTCTGTCAACATAAACGTCACTGTGGACATTGCGCGTTGTCACCTTATAAGTTAGAAGACATCGTTCGGCTTCGCTCGACATGCCTCCGATACATGTCTTGGAACATATAATGTATCCTAGGCTTTATAATGACTTTCCCCCTCCAAAAAAGTTGGTTTTAAGAACCGCTAAAGTGTGAATAAGATTCTTTGCCAGAGTTCGTGTTACCTTAATGACAACCCGGGTGTCTTCAAGACGGTAGTGAATAGGTTACTTATGAGCAGTCGTGATCCATCGTCTTACCTTTAGACGAGTTAAAAAGAATAATTTAAAGCGTAACATAACATCGCCCCTTTTAATCCCCAAGGGGTGGGCAGAGGTACACATTATGCCACTGTACAATTTAATACCCACTTTTCACTATTAATTTTGTGAGGTGTGCCTATTGCCATATACGGGGCACAATTCCAGACTCCGTGCTTCTACTGAGAATTAAAAAAAACTCATTAAAACTTTACCCGACCCGGGAATCGAACCCGAGACACTTTGCCCGGTAGTCGCACTTGCGATCACTCGGCCAACGAGTCAGGCATGCATAATTAAAAGCACTATAAAACAATTTATATTCTTAGTAAACAACAATAAAATCAAAGTAATAGGTAATAATAAAATTATAAAACTGCAAATGGAGCGTGTCCGACATTTGTAGTAATTGCAGAATTCTGTGACGAAGCATTACGTGCTCGACTGCTGACTATTGATGAAATACATGTAGTACCGACTGTACTGTTGCACAACTTAACAAAATATCGTTAATTGTTATCAAGGGTCAATGATTTAAAAGTTCATGATTAACGATTACAAAAGATTGCAAGACTAACGAGTAAAGAGGATCTCTATAAGTCTATAGCCCCTTCCCAATCCTCAATCCTCAGTTTTCTAACCTTGTACATACTTGTAACGCCTCTGGCTGTGTCCATGGGCGCGGAAAAAGTACTCAAAAACACCCTCAATCGACGAGCATGCATGAAGAGATTGATGAATTTAGATGAAGCGAGAATTGGCATTTGGCGTTCCATTGTCTCTGCCTACACCCAATGGTTATTTAAGTGTGCGAGAGCCATGCTTCGGCACGAATGGGCCGGTTCGACCGGAGTGATACCACGGCCGAGCAGAAAACCGACGTGAAACAACGCTTGTGTTGGTTTTCGTTGTGTGATTGAGGTTACATGAGGCCCAATTACCCCAATCCCTGAATCCCCAACAATTTCAATCCCCTCAACCCGCCTCTGGTGTTCCAAGTGTTCATGGGCGGCGCCGATTGCTTACCATCAGGTGATCTGTATGCTCGTTTCCCGGCTTATCCTATAAAAAAATGAAGGACTCCTCTGGACTAAACATATGCAAAACTCGTCAAAGTGATCACAAATTGCCTTTTCTAATTTGTTATCGTGTCCTATTCCAGATGCCATAGCATCAGGGGAGAGCGTCAGACTGGCGCCGTCGCTCCGGAGCCAGAAGGGAGCGATCTGGTCGAAGCAGCCGCTCAACTTCGACTGGTGGGAGATCGACATCATGTTCAAGGTCACCGGACGAGGCAGGATAGGAGCTGATGGGCTGGTGAGTGATTTTTTTATGATATTAGAGTTGCTGACAACCACAAGAGATAGGGATCGAAGCAAGAGTAGGAACAGGGTGATTTTTAGTCAGTAAGAGTCTCACACGCCGTCTCGTCTCACCTAAGACGAGAGCAAACATGATTTGCTCCCCTCAAAAAAGGAGGTCAGAAATTCGATATAGTTAATGGCAAAATCAGTTCTTTATTTAGGCCATACAAATGCGTAACTCCAGAATTAACTTGCATTAACTTTGAAGGTTCTGGGTAAATTGATAGTCTTTACTTACAGGGCTATAAAAGTTGATTAATGTACATATCGCTACAGTATCATGTATGATACTTAAAATAGACCACCATCTTGAATCACTATCTATTAAAATCGCCTCAAAATCCATTGCGTAGTCATAAGGATCGAAGCATACATAGAGTCAGGTAGCGCGGAAACCGGCTTTGACGTTTATACTATGCAGAGATTTTTCAAAAATCGCGGGGTACTCACGTAAAAATACTGAGAAAAGCTCTACTAGTTTCGAACCACAGAGGGGATCTTTCTTATGAGCAGCGTGCGCGGTCGCGGCGATGTCGCGCAGCCTACTGGCACTTGCATCGCTGTTGTAACTTGCGCTGCGAGCCCACCGCGCCCTCTGCCGGACACCACGCGCGTTGCTTCCAACTCTGAGTAACCGCGATTTGTGTGTCTCTCTATTGTATACTAGCGACCCGCCCCAGCTTCGCACGGGTGCAATATGCATGTATTGTACATATAAACCTTCCTTAAGAATCACTCTATCTATAAAAAAAACCGCATCAATATCCGTTGCGTAGTTTTAAAGATCTAAGCGTACATAGGGACAGACAGACGGCGGATAGCGACTTTGTTTTATACCATGTAGTGATAACTAACCTAATTTCTCCTTCCAGGCGTTCTGGTACACCACCCAGCGCGGTGACTACACGGGCGAGGTGTTCGGCTCCTCGGACAGGTGGAACGGTCTGGCCGTCATCTTCGACTCGTTCGACAACGACAACAAACACAACAACCCGTACATCATGGCCGTCCTCAACGACGGCACCAAGGTCTTTGACCATAAGAGGTGACGAATTATTCTGGACTCTATTTGAAGTTTGCTAAACAATGTTTGTTTTTAACAATTAATAAAATTAGCCTTTATTGTTAAATAAATTATGATGTTTTCGACTTACTCACGTAATAATTTGACGAGGAACTCGACTAGTTTCTAGCCATGCTAGAGGCTCATATTCATGAGCAGCATTTCGCGACCTGCGACGCGGCGACCGTCGCGCTGATATACATAATAATTTATTTAGTATGTATCGCGAAAGTTATAATACAAGCCATTATTGCTGTTTAAACTTATCTTATACTAATATTATAAATCGGAAAGTGAGTTTGTTTGTTTGTTCCACTTTAACGCCGTAACTACTGAACCAATTACTTTCAATTTTTGCAGACGTGAACTTATATAGGAGTTGCAGGGGTTTTGAAGGCCGTGGCAAGCTTGTCTCATAAAAAAATAGGCAATAGAATGTCCACTGCTGAACATAGGCCTCCCCCAATGACTTCCAAATAGGCCAGTTGGAAGCGGCCTACATTTAGGCTAGATTCTACCAAATCCCCTTATACTATTGGCCGCAAAAAGATTTTCATAGAGAGAAGTGGAAGGAGGGTAGGGAGGCCTTTGCCCTGCAGTGGGACGATCATGACTGAAAATAAATAATAAATAAATAAAATAATTTAGTTTTAGCAAAATTTAAATTCATAACCATGTTTAACTTTGATACAATTTTACATTCATGTTAAAATTTATTGTAATAATGTGTAAACATTCACTGCCCATTTCCAACTAAAAAATGTGCCTGATATACTAATTCTGGTCACCGCATCACCTGTAATAACCTGTGACTGTCTTGTTCCCAGCGATGGCTCCCAGCAGCTCCTGTCGGGATGTCTGCGCGACTTCCGCAACAAGCCGTTCCCGACGCGCGCCCGCATCGAGTACTACCTCAACACTCTCACTGTCTACTTCCACAATGGTAAGACATAATACACGCTACTACTCAATTCTGATGTCCTAGTACTTCTGTACGTCGCGGAGAACCTAACGGGTAACCGGGGCTCCGGCTCGACGTGCAGGAGAAGGAACGGGGTGGTTTTTAGTCAGTAAGAGTCTGACACTCCCTCCCGCCTCACCCAGGCGGGAGCAGTCATTCGATGATTTTCCCAACTTAAACTGTCAAACACCAAGCGGTCACCGATGACCGTAACCTATTGTTCTACCTCTATAATTGTGTCGCAATTCTGATGTCCTAGTACTTCTGTACGTCGCGGAGAACCTAACGGGTAACCGGGGCTCCGGCTCGACGTGCAGGAGAAGGAACGGGGTGGTTTTTAGTCAGTAAGAGTCTGACACTCCCTCCCGCCTCACCCAGGCGGGAGCAGTCATTCGATGATTTTCCCCCTTTAAAAAAAAAAGTACTTCTGTACCCGTTTACTCCAATGCCCTAAACTGTTACATATCTGAAAGTCTCTTAACTTGACGTAACATTTAAACAAACCAAATTAAATAAAAATCGGAGATTACTCACGTGAATATACTGAGAAACGCTCTACTAGTTACGAACCATAGAGAGGTTCTTCCTCATAAGTAGCAGTGTGTGGTCAGTAGGCTGCACGACACCGCCGAACCACCCCCTTGTTGAACCACCCCCTTGTTGAACCACCCCCTTGTTGAACCACCCCCTTGTTGAACCACCCCCTTGTTGAACCACCCCCCTTCCTGGCCACAGATCGATCTGATTTTTGGTACACATTCTTAATCTTGATGACAATATCTAATGTTCCACAACTATCTCCATTATGGATATCAAACGCAAAGGTTTGTTTGGTAGAATAGAACTCAAAAACAGTTAATCTAAAAATAAATTTTGTGTGTCATAACAATGTAACAAGTTTCTTTATGTTAATCCCCAGGAATGACGAACAACGAGGCGGACTACGAGCTGTGTTTCCGTGCTGAGAACGTAGTGCTCCCCCGCGGAGGATACCTCGGGCTGTCGGCCGCCACCGGGGGCCTGGCCGACGACCACGACGTCATACATCTACTCACCACCTCGCTCCACTCGCAGCAACAGACTGGTGACTCACTCATTCACTCTCCCACACATCATTTACTACAACATTAGACAAGCAAAATTTCCCTACACTATTTATTTATTAACTTTTTGTAAAATCAATAGCGCTGCAAAGTACAAACTCACTCACATACTCATTCACTCACTCACTCACTCCATCCATCACTTTCAGGCGGCGGTCAGCAGATGAGCACTGACGAGCAACAGAAGCTGTCGCAGGAGTACCAGGAGTACCAGAAGAAGCTGGAGCAGCAGAAGGAGGAGTACAGGAAGGAACATCCTGATGAGGTAGGAAACCATTGTCATTTAGTAAGCTTGTCTTTACATTGTTCTAACATTAACTGCCTCGTTGGCCGAGTGATCGCAAGTGCGACTGCCAGGCACGAGGTCTCGGATTCGATTCTCGGATCGCAAAAACCCAGTAATACTTTGCCCGACCCAGGAATCGAACCCGACATCCCGACTGTCGCAGTTGCGATCTCTCGGCCAACGAAGCAGCAATGATAAAATAATTTTCAGTAATTTCTGAACCTATTCAATACAAACAATAATTCATTCTTATAGATGTTCACAGCAGCCCCACCTAAACCATCTCTAACTAAAAGTCCCTTAGCGTGACATAACGCCTTAAGTAACCCCTTACCTTAGTACCTAGATATTTATACCTATAGGTGTTTCTGATAGATTGATGTAAACCAAAATTATGCCTATCTTACCTCAAGGATCTCTTAAAATTTAAGAGAAATCGATAAAATCTGGTACTAATTATCCCTTTAAAAGTACAAAAGATAAAAGGAAATTATTTAAAACCGTCTTAAGAAACATATACCCGTCTCGCTCTAACGCTATATAATTACAGGTGCGCGACAAGGACGGCGAGTTCGACGACTGGTTCGAGTCGGACGCTCAGCGCGAGCTGCGACAGATCTTCCAAGGACAGAACCAGATACACGACGTGTTGAGGGGACTTAACAAGAAGGTTGATGAGGTACGTCGACGTCAATCAAATCAACATATTTATTTGCAAGAATACAATATGGCTTTCAGGGAAGATCTTATTACCTACGAGTAAAAAGAGAGATACCTCACTACGTCATCATCTTCTACATCTTGATTGTATCTACTAAATAAATATCCGGCCTTATCATCTTTTATATCATCATCAGCCTATTACTAGTTTCTGTGCTATAAGTGCCCTTGAAAAGTTTCTAAAACATATTTGAGTTTAATTAAAACTTTTGAGAATTGCCGAGAATATTTGAGCTTGTTTGTAAAGATTTGAGCTTGATCGAAAAGTGTCGAGTATGACCGAAAAGAAAAAAGACAAATGTAGCCTATGCCTCTGTTCATCCTTTGATTTGACTTCACTTTAATTACATCAGTACGTCGCTTTGTTGCCGTGGAACACGAACAAATAAACAAGCTCACAAACTTTCGTATTTTTTAATATTATATAGTAGGATTAGTAAGATTATTACTTCATATATTAATTATATAATTGGGATGATGACAGGGTTTGAAAATTAAAAATCTAATTAATCCACAAGTTAGGTAATGAAAAAATATTAGACACGTATTTTTTTATTGTGTTGTATAATAAAACCATGCTTAGATAAAACGAATCAAAGTTTAGGAGTTGGGGCTAAAACGTCATTTCTACGTATAAAATGTACACAGAAGTGACGTCACGCGACATTTCAAATCAATATATCGTCGAAAGTATTCGTTTCTGTAAGAAATTAAAAAATACGTGTTTAATGAATTAAAATAATCTACCAGACGGACATTGAAATAAAAATGAGGCATCTAATCTATTGCTATGTGTCGTATTCCAGGTGATAGGCAAGCAGATGAACTCTCTGTCGATGTTGACGGCCGTGTACTCCCACACGCAGGGCCAGCCGCTGCAGCCCGGCGCGCCGCCCGCGCAGGTACCCGCTGCTTTCTTTCTTTCTTTTTAAAAAACGTTGCCCCACACTAGGATTTTCTCCTGTGTCGTGTGTGAGTTTACAAATATTATTCCCCTCCCTAGTCCCCGTCTCCCGAATCCCCGAATCCTCTACAATCCTCGAAATCCCAATTCCCAAAGGGCCGGTAACGCACTTGTAACGCCTTGCTGTTTCGGCGACGCTGATTACTTACCATCAGGTGATCCGTCTACTCGTTTATACAGGCTTATATGCTATAAAAAAATACAAGTTCACATACACATGGCACCCAGACACGGAACAATAATCTGTGGATCACACAAAGAGTTGTATCGTGCGGGAATCGAACCCGCGACACGTTGCACGGAGCCAGTTGGCCAGCCACCGCGCCAACCGTGCAGTCGCAATCGCCGGGTACTTATTGTATACCACACATTGTCACACGTGGACTTAACCTAGCGAGCGCCCTGAACAAGTACCTTATTGGCGCCTCTAATTTCTTTGGCGCCTCCACTCTATAGACAGTTGGGCACGCGCCCTCTGTACCCGGCACTTATCTAGGAAAGTACGGCTATGTGCACTGTCTATCATTTTGACGCAGATTAAGGTCGAGTTCTAATTTTGTTGTGGATTATAATTCACTATAAATAATTGTTAATAAATAAATACTAGTCGTTGCATGTCATGTTGTGTGCACATACATGTGGAAGCATGGTCTGCCATTTACAGTTTTGTATTGTTACTCTGTTGTGTATCGCGCTGTGTTTCTGTTTTGTGTACCTAATAAATAAATAAATATCATTGTATGACTTACGTTAATCTTCAACTGGGTAGTTATGGGCCCTAGTGTGTCTTGGAAGTACCTACCAGTCACCTCGTTAAAGTCGTACAACAAAATTGGGTCCTTGCAAGTCAAATTCAATACTTTTTCCAACTGTCAAAAACGAGAGATTTCTATGAATTTTGTACGAGATTGTGTATTGTGACGTCACGTTTTTTTAGCGTCAAACAGCATACTTATTTCTTAAAAATTACTAAAAAATATTAAAATTAAGTTGGTCATAAAATCAATTAAAGTGTGATTATATTGTGTGAATATTTTATTGTATTGAACAGTCGAAATAATTTCTATTTCATTAAGGAACGCACCCAATATGTATAATGCGTCAAACGTGTATTTACATTGTTCTCACATATACGTTCAATATTGGTTAATATATTAGAGAGATTGTAAAACATATTTTTTTAAAGTACGTAACGAATGGAGTTTCTTGCGCGTTCTTCTCCATTCGAATCTACATTTTGGAATGAGCACCTAGCTTCACTGACGGACTGACTAACAGACTATTATTTACTTAGTATTTGTTGACCCTTCAAAAACAAAAGAATACAGTCGTTGTGAACCTCCTCCTTTGTTTGAAGTCGGTTGGAAAGTACCAAATTATTGTATAATTGTAATACATGCTTTGACTTTGCTAAATTAATAAACCATCTCAATCCAATTGTGGACTAGGTTCGTTACATCTTCTTCTTGGACTTCTTGGACTTGAATTTGGCACGTGATAACATGATCAAAAGATGAATATTATGTTTTACAGTGAATAATAACAAATGCTATTCCAGATGCCAGCGCTGCCAATAGGCCGCCACGACTGGGACGCGCTCGTTGCCAACAACCAGATCATGATCAACACCATCGCGGAGCTCAAGTGAGTATACATTTAAATATAATAATATTATACACTAATGTCCGTCTGGTAAATTATTTTAAACGCATTACGCACATATTTTTTATTTTCTTACAAAATTAAATACTTTCGACAATATATTAATTTGAAATATCGTGTGACGTCACGACGACCTCCCACTCCAATTCTATCTAAGTATTGTAACTTTATACGAGAAAATAAAAAACTACGTGTCTAATATTATTTCATTATCTAACTGACGGACTAATTACATTTTAAATTTCACAACTACTTATTAATATATGATAATTATTATAAAACCACCTCTATTCTTTGTACAGAGGCTTCATAATCGAGGTGTCTCGTAAATCGGACGCGATGGTGGCCGGCGGTGGCAGCGGTGGCAGTGCCATCAACCCTCAGTTCCTCAACGAGATGAGAGACTCCATCAACCAGGTCAAGGCTACCGTCACTGGAGTCGCGCAGAGGTTAATATGTTTTATTGTATTTTTTTCTAGATGATAAAATTCCATATATGAATAATCAATAGATAGTAAACACACATACATACGCATAAGCATGCAAAATTATTGACATAATTAAAATAAAATTTAAAACATGGACTGGTTTTTTAAACTGTCAAACACCAAGCGGTCACCGGTGACCGCAACCTATTGTTCTATAATTGTGTCTACAAACCGGTACTCGACGAGTTAAACAATTTTTATTCAAAATAAATTAATACTTGACAGTTTTTGTATTTCACTGGTTCGTTGGGCTAATGGTCGCAAATGCGACTCCGGGCAAGGGGTCTCGGGTTCAACGCAAAGTGTTATCGGGTTTAAAAATTCTCAGAAGCAGCACGGAGTCTGGAATTGCGCCCGGTAGGCGGTATATGACAATAGACTCACTCCCTATTACATGGGACTCATTACATAAATAGTGACAAGTGGGTGTTACATTGTATAGTGGTATTAGGTGTCGTAGTGTACACCTCTGCTTACCCCTTTGAAGATAAAAGGCTGCAAGGTGGCAAGTCAGCAAATTGCCACGCGCCCCCAACTGGCGGGGTTCCCGTTTAGAGGTTCACATCTGAGGTTCTCTATTTTTATTGGGAACGGGGACCCATTCGATGAATTTGCACGGGCCCCGCACGGTGTAGGTACGTCCCTGAGTACAATGTATGACCTGAGTAACAATCCCCAATACGTGTTCCAGGATATCGTCGGGCAGTCCCCAGTCGCAGCCGCAGTCGTCGTGTCCGGAGGCGAGCTGCGTGAGCTTCACCGGCCTCCTCGTCGTCGTCGCCGCGCAACTCACGCTCATGTTGTTCTACGCCATCTACAAGTTAGTGTCATTCATTACCTGTTGCCTGCGCCTTTATTCGCATACAATATGATTCATATTTTTACCATGGAGCAATCAATCGGAATAACAAGTATCCTATCACCTCAGTTGACGGCAAAGCAACTCTTTGTGTGATCCATAAATTGTTGTTCCGTGTCTGGGTGTCATGTGTATGTGAACTTGTATGTTTGTAAACGTACACACGACACGGGAGAAATGGCTGGAGTGGGGCAAAGTTTTTCAAAAAAGAAGTCAGCGCATACCCTTTTTTTTGAGGGGGGAAAATTATCCAATGGCTGCTCCCGCCCGGGTGAGGCGGGAGGGAGTGTCAAACACTTACTGACTAAAACCCACCCCGTTCCTACTCCTGCACTTCGAGCCGGAGCCCCGGCAACCCGTTAAGTCTTCCGCGGCTCCGTATCGGCATCAGCCCTATTAGGCCCCATCTGTGGTGGTCTGATGGCTCTTTGAGGCGCGCGCGGAACGCTCGGCGCCGTACGCTCGGGTCTGGTTCTGGTCGAGCGGCGAGTCACCCATGCTCGCCGTCCGCAGGCCCGCGCTTACGGCCGGAGATCGCGTCGCGATCCTCGACGCCCAGAGTGTCCCTCGCGACGGCCGGGTCGTGAGGAGGTTCGTTCCCTCCCGCGCTCCGCCTCCTCCTTAGCTAGCATGACTGCTTCGCAAAAGGAGGATACGGCATCCCAGTCCCCCTCGCTCTGTACCATGATCTGAACCAGAGCCGGAGTCAGCGGATACCCTGACTGTATACCAAATTTCATCAAAATCCGTTCAGTAGTTTCAGCGTGATTGACGGACAAACATCCAAACAAAAAAACTTCCCGACTATGGCGAGTTGGCACTCTCATAGGATGTTTAAAATTTGCCATTTCATAACATTTTGAAAATGGCTACAGTGCTCTCTGATAAACCAAAACCTTTAACACTATAATATCCAACTAGTCTGCCAAGCGTGGAGATAACGTCTAAGACCTAGTCTAGATTCTCAAGAAACACGTTTAATTAATTTTTGTATAATAATTATATTTTCTGTTTGTCCACAGAGAAAGAAAAGAAGCACAAGCGAAGAAATTCTTCTAAAGTTGTCGTTAGTGAGTCGCTAGGTGGCGCCACTAGTTTCATGCAACTAACTCACCCCGGGCTTCCGTTTCCGTCAGAAATATTATGTTCATACTGTTTATTATTATTTAGTATTATTTTTATTTTTTACTCTGGTAACACTTGCTAGTATATTTTTGTTTACTTGTCATACTATTCCGAGATTGTAAAGTAGAGCTAAATTAAACTTTAATTCTTTAGTAACAAAGTATATTCTTCCTTAATACTTTGCATTTAGATACAAAAATTCTTACTATTGCATTTAGTTATACAAAAATCAAGTTAAAGTTTAATGTATTAGGGTCTATGTTCCCTATTAGCTCTACTATAGTATTATTAATGTATATATAAACATGTTCTGAAAATCTTCTCAAAGACCAATGTAACATATCATAAATGATGTCTATAGACAATTTGAGTTTTTTAAATATTATATTGTTTTATTACGTATTGAACATGGGCTCAAAATAAGAAATAAATATTCAATGCGATATATTACAATAATTTTTCAAATTATCTAAAAAAGTAACATTCTATCTTTGACCATTTATTTTAATACTTATTGTCTTTAAGTGTGTTTATTCCTTGCTGTATATGTATTTAACTTTAGTACAAAATATGTCGTTAATCTGTCAAATGTTTCAAATGAGTTTCAACCTTATTGCATTACTAGCTTTCTAGCCGTAATTTAGTCGCGTAGAAATTGTTATATATTGATTCTTGAATAATAATTTCAGTATTTATTTAATACTAGCTACTCCCGCGCGATTTGACTCGCTGCTCGGCTCCTATTCATCGTAGCGTGATGTTAAGCCTATTTAATTCAGACAAGTTAGTAGTGCATGAAATTCCCTTTACAAAGGCCGACAACAAAGTCAAAGTCAAAAGTCAAAATCATTTATTTCAATTAGGCCAGAATGACACTTTTGAACGTCAACAAAAAAATAATAAGACGTGAAGCTATTTGCTCGCAACGCACCTGTGATGCCTCTGGTGTTGCGGGTGTCGATGGGCGGCGCTGATCGCTTACAATCAGGTGATCCGTCTGCTCGTTTGCCTCCTATTCCATAAAAAAAGGATTAACGTATACAAACGAACTCAGCAGCTTTATAATTTTACTATTGATGCAAAATTTTGGTATATTTGTTACTCTTTACCGCAAAAGCTACTGAATGTATCTGAATGAGATTTGCTATAGTTATAGATTGTAGTCTGAAATAACATATAGGCTGCTTTTTATCCTCAACACGCGAGCAAAGTCGAGCAAAAAGCTAGTATGTAATAAGATTGAATTTTTTTTAATTACTTTGTTTTGTTCATGTTTTATCAAAGTGCAGTTCACAATATTATATAAAGTATGATCTCATTGTCGTCGGAATGCGAAATATTTCGCAATAAATCAGTTACGTGCATGAAATTAGTGGCTTTTTAGAATTTTTTTACCAATTTGAGTGCGAGGCGGTCTGTCCGTGTGTGTGTACATAATATATTTATACTGTTCTCTTGTTCCTTGATGTTTTATTATTTTAATTAATTTTTATTTTATATAGGGATTGGTTTTAACATCTATTTTGTCCTGTCTACTAGATTTTGGTAAAATATTAGACACGTGTTTTTAAAAAGTATAAAATGTTGATGACTTTACTGTTAGCCCAGTGGTTGGGTGACTCGCTGCTATACAGTGTGTAATTCGATTCCCGCACTGAAAATCTATAAATTATTAGTTCATAAATTCTAAGTTTTGTTTAGAGACAAATACAAAATACGTGTCTAATATTGGACAAAGAAATTAATATAATAATTTTGTTATTTATGAATGGTCCCTATGTCAAGAATTTTGTTAATTTTCTATGAAATGGTGTTGTCTCGCAGTGCGCATGCGTGTGAATGTGTAAAGAAGTTGTAAGTAAAGATTATTTTTTGAGATTACCTCCTTGTGTGTTTTATTTACTATTACCAACTTAATATGGGAATAACTCACCCCCTATTACATGGGACTCGTAACATAAATAGTGAAAAGTGGGAGTTACATTGTATAGTGGCATTAAGTGCCGTAATGTGCACCTCTGCTTATCCTTTCGGGGATAAAAGGAGTGATGTTATTATGTTAAAATAACTTTTATGCGGCTTACCAAAATCTTTCTACCGGATACATTTTAGTGTCCGGGGGATTGGACAACTTGATTCCCCCTAGTCCTTTCCATCATCGTACCGCAAGACAATCGGCGAAGCGTCACCGATTAATGGTAGATGACCCACCCGCACGCACGAAGCGCTTCGCTTCAAGCTTCCTTGTGCGTACTGCTAAGGAGTGGAATTCTTTGCCAGAGTCTGTATTTCCTGAACGGTATTACCTGGGTGTCTTCAAGGCCCGAGTGAATAGGTTGCTTATGGGTCGACGTGCTCCATCGTAGATCGCAACATCGGTTACCAACAGGCGAGATAGTGGTCAAACGTCGGCCGTCAAATAGAAAAAAAACATTTATGGTGATGCAAACAAAACGTGTAATTTCAGCTCAAGCGATTGAAGATAGATATCTTCAACCGCTTGCTTCAACTTGCTTCTGCTTCAAAATGTACTTGCAAGATTCTACTTCACATACTAATTTATTTGTAATTGAAACTGACTGCCTCGCTGGCCGAGTGGTCGGAAGTGCGACTGCCGGGCAGAGGGTCTCGGGTTCGATTCTCGGGTCGGGCAAAGTATTACTGGGTTTTTTAAAAATTCTCAGTAGTAGCACGGAGTCTGGAATTGTGCCCGGTATATGACAATAGGCTCACCCCTACTACATAGGATTCATAACATAAATAGTGAAAAATGAGTGATACATTGTACAGTGGTATAATGTGCACCTACACATATAATTATTATTATGTTATGTATGTAATTGAAACTCCAATAAACAGCGTATCTTCCCGTATTTAAATGTCATGGCTTATGAGTGTTATATGTATAAAAGAAAAACGCGAGATCGAACGCAAACATTTTTTGCGAAAGTATTTTGCACTGTTCTCCAGGTCTTCTATTGTCGTCAAGACAAAATTAAAAAGACTAATATTTTTGAGGGAGATAATCGTAAAATTGTTTCTCCCGCCTTGGGTGTGGCGAGAGAGTCAGCTCTTTGACTAAACACCACTCCGTTCCTACTCCTTTATAAGCAGGAGTAGGAACAAGACGAACAAAGCCACAAGAATCGGCTAGTAGCTTGCCTTAAAAAAAAAAATTAACTAACCCCTCACTCCTAAACTTTGATTCGATTTATCTAAGCATTGTTTTATTATACGACAAAATAAAAAATACGTGTCTAATATTTTTTTCATTACCCAACTGATGGACTAATTACAATCATACGACACAATCGTATCACCTTACAGTGGCTAACAGGTGGTAATCAGGGGCGTAGCTACATAGCACTGTATCTGCCGTATCAATTATACGGGGCATCCAACGCGCGGAAGCAAAGATTAATAAAAACATCCAAACTTCTATTTGATTTCAGTAATTACACAAGTCAAAATAAACGATATTTTCCCGCGTAAAGCATGCGTACAACAAGAAACGTTAGAAAAATTAATGTAATCACATACATAACATGACGCCTTTTATCCCCGAAGGGGTAGGCAGAGGTGCACGTGGTTGCACATTACGGCACTTAAGGCCACTGTTCACTTTGCTCTATTTATTTTATGAGTTCCACTTCCATGTAATAGAGAGTGACCGATGTAATATACCGTGCACAATTCGAGACTCCGTGCTACTACTTATACAACATTTTATCTCTTGTGTGAAATCTTTACCCTTTATAATAATTATAATAAGGGCCGCAAAACTAATTTATATACAGGGCCCAGCCAAGTTGCCCTACGCCACTGGTGGTAGCTAATAACAATAACATATACTTTGGACTCTTACTCTTTAGATAAAACACGAACAAAGGTACACCGAACATACCTACAGTTATAATTAAATACTGAAGATAATTACTCATATCTGTTGCTACACGATCCACGCTTTTATCCTTACTAATATTATAAATGTGAAAGTATGTGTGTCTGTTTGTTTGTCCGTCTTTCACAGCAAAACGGAGCGACGAATTGACGTGGTTTTTTTGAGTTGAAAGGATTTTTTTGTCTGCGGTCGGCGAGTCACTCGTGCTCGCCGCCCGCAAGCCCGTGCTGACGGTGGCCGGAGATGGTCTCGCGATCCCCGACGCCCAGAGTGTCTCTAGCGACGGCTGGGTCGTAAAGAGGTTCGTTACCTCACGCACCCCGCCTCCTTCTTAGCTAGCTCCTCGCTCTGTACCATAGTCTGAACTAGAGCCGAACGCGAGAGGTCGCCGTCGCCGATCACATCCCTGAGGACACGGCGGTGCTCAGCCCACGCAGGGCACACCGCCACCGTATGCTCCACCGTGACCTACGGGTAGTTGAAAGGCTCTTTGTAACCTCTTTCTTCCCTAATATAAAAGTTGAAATTTGTATGGAGCCGTTCAGTAATTTTCAAGATAGAAAGCTAAACATTGGTTTGCGGACTATTTGTGACTAACAAAAAAGTCAAGCATCATTTTTTTTAATTACCGCGAACCTCTTGAAAGTTTGCAAGCAAGAGAGCACAGACCAAGACTCTGTGGAGAATTAATATTGAATATTGGAAAAACAGAGCAAGTGAAATCGCGGGCAATAGCTAGTCTAAACATATTTTTATGTCATTAATGATAACGGTTTTTCCTTATTTATCTAAGACCTGAATTGTCGGAAAACCCGAAAGCAAATAAACGATTACACATCAGATAGTTTGGGAATTCTCAACGCTTTTATAATTATAGGCTTAAGATCAAAATTCTATAATGACTATGTTAAGACAATATGACACCATTCATATACTTAGGTATATGAATGGTGTCATATTGTACCATTTTTCTTTAGTCATTGGATCTGTGGGTCCCATAAGTGTGACGAGTTTGCAATAACCTCCACCTAATAGGCTGCATGGGGATCACAAATAAACATTGGTGGTTTTAAAACCCCAATTAACATCACCAGCCTATAACTGCCCACGGCTGACCAAAGGCCTGTTCTCACACGGGGAAGGTTTGAGCATTAATTGCCACGCTTGCTCAATGCGGGTAGGTAATTTCAAACTTATAATTACTTTAGAAATTATAAGTTCATTATATTTTCCTTCACCATTTGTCTTGGTGTCTAAATGATCTTAGAAAATGCATACTATAAATCGGAAAAAGTCACATTGGTACTTGCCGTTGGTAGGTTTGGAAACTGCGCCCTCGTGCATGACAGAGAAGCGCGCGTCTCCCATATATCCCCAAGACACCGTTGACGGCTCTCCACTAACTACATCATAGACCTTATTTCCGATGTTAGAGACTACTTTTGTATGAACAAATTTCAACATGTTAAACCTACGGACGGAAAACCCCAATATAAAAAAAAGATATATGCTTTTCACATAGCTTGAGTCAGTGAGACCCCCTCGACGTTGCAGTTGCCAACAACAATCATTTTTATCTATAATCAAAATGATAAGAAGTTAAAAATGTTTACACGCGCTGTTTACATATTTTATCAAAATGAATCAAACGAATAATCGATTACTTACGATCGGCAAAACAGATAAATCGTGGCTTTGCATTCCTGGGTACTTAGGTAATTAAACATACGACATTATTATTAATCAATTGTCACTTGGTAAACACTGGATATCTAAATATAATTGGACATTGTACTATTGACACGTACCTACATGCACAAACAAAAATAATAATATATTTTTCATATACTCCATTAAAAAACCGACTTTAAAGTACTCTTTTTTTGAAGTAGGCTAATTAATACACTGACTAAAACGGTTTGTTATAACTTATAAGTGTAACAAATAGTTTTCTGAAAACCATATCAAAATCGGTTCTGCCGATCGCGAGATAATC